TGAAATAATTGAACAAACAAATAAACAAATACAAATATGTCTAAATATATACACCGCTTCATATACATTATTGTTAGACAATGATTTAAGCTAATTCATTATTTTACATTTATAGTGAAATCGCACAAATTGCTTTATAAATATAAAGTGAGAAAAAGAGAAAGCGCTAAAACCTGTGAGTGAGGGAGAGAATAGTCTCTGATGTAGTTCTCTAGAAGTAAAAAAGATTATTCCCTATAAAATTAGAACTATACAAAATTATTTTTGTGAAAGGCATAAAATTTGGATAAGAACAAAACTGCTCTGAAAGGTTAAGGATTTGCACCTCTTTTCTAGACAAAAGTTGTTTTTCTGCTAATCTTATAAACACTAGATTATATGGTACTTCTGTAAATTGAAGATATTTTAACTGAAAAAAATTTGTTCTAAATATATTTTTATAATATATTTGTTTGCATGTACATATATAAGTATGTTTTAGTGAAGATATCATCTATTCTTCCACTCCTTGAGGTTTTAAATGTTTTCTCTTTAGTAGTAATTTTTTTTTTTACATATTCTAAATCTTATTACAGATATATATAAGTATGTTTTAGAAAATATATTTTATTTTTTTCCTTTCCCTGAAATTGTAAATGTTTCTTCTTGGGATGATATTAACTTTCAGCAGTGATTTTACTCTGTTTATAACTGTTTGATTATTAATTCAATAATATATAATTTGTTTTATTTCAGTTCTCTCTCACTTTAGAATCTTTTCTACTTACCATTTTATTTTCCTTCCACTTCTACTTTTTAGAATTAAATTAGAGACATAATCACTGGGTTTATGGAATCAATGAAGTTGCATATATTGATTTATGCAAAATGTTGTGTATCTCCCACAACCTTATCTCTGCTCTTACCCTTAAATATGTACAAAATGTTAGGTATTTGAGTGTGGCTCAGGTTAATCGTAAAATTAAAGCTCTCCGGTATCGAAAACAATCTCTTGCAAAAATATAAATTCTTATTAAAGTTAATGAATATTTTCAACCCTGGGAAAATAATAAAAATGTTTAGCTTTAACAGATTACGGACTGCAGAGTGTATGACGAGTGTCTGTGAAAGTAAGGAGAAGGAGGAAGGGACATACGTACACGTCTGTCATTATGTAACAAAGGCAAGAATGTGTAACACCGAAATCAAGTTTTATGGTAAAAGCTTTCACATAAAATGCAAGTTATTAAAGTATACCAAGTACACCAAGAACAAACAACCTCATCATCGTCATCGTCATCCATGCCCACTTACTCCAGATTTTGCTGCTTTGGGTTTGGGTTCATAAACTGCTTTGCTACTTTGGTTTTATGTGTTGGTGGGTAGGGAAGGAAAATCATTTAAAGGGTAGTAGATGCAAACATCCCTTCTAAGTTTAGATAAAGCTTAGAATTATTTTTTTTTGTTGGTTTTGGTGTTAAATAGTCTTTAAGGGAGTTTTTTAAAGTAACCTTCAGAAATATGATAAGCAAATAATAAAAAAAAAATTGCTGATGAAAAGTGTTAATAAGAAATGCAGTCAATCGAGTAAAAAAAGGAAAAATTATGCAGAACGTTAGTTGATTTCCAAAAATGTGTCAACAATAGAAATATATATATGGTATATATTCATAATATTAATTTCTATTATATGTTGTATAGTACATACACATATATTGTGTATAAGCATAAGGTTTATATGTAAATTTTCATTGTTAAAAGCGACAACTCGTTGATGTTGAAGGACAACATCTCTCAAAAAAGTGATTTAAACGCAAATAAATGCAGCCGAAATTAAAAAAAAAAACGCCTATACTCGTACTTCGCGTATTTACAGGGTATGTCGTTTTTAACAGATCACTAACATCGTACAACTACATTAGCCGCGCAAGTAGTAACGAGTAGACTTTACATTTATTCCACCACGTTTTTAACTGTTTAAACGCACGCATTCCATGTCATGGCTATTATGGCACCGCGCATAATAATATGCTGCAGCATATACAAGTGCCACATACACGTACGCATTGTTGTGTCTCCTCATACACTCGTCCAAAGTGATAACAACAGCGAAGTTAACTGCGGCGCTCATAACTTGCCGTTGCTGTTGCTGTTACTGTTGCCATTGCCACCTTCTTCTCTCACACAACATAACTTGTTTTACCAACAAAGACCAACTGTTAGCTTTTAGTTTTTGGACAACAAACGTACCAACGTACGAACGAACGAACACTACAAAAACAAAGAGTAGTAATATAGCGGAGCAGTTTGGTAACTACCGTACGTACTAGCTAGTAATATGACAGACATAACCATGGCTGCTCATACTGCTGCTGCTGCTGCTGCTGCTGCTGCTGTTTACTTCGTATATTGTTCACACACATTTTCGGCTTAATACAGCAGCCACATTAAAGCCAAACTAACTGTTTTAATGCTTTGATAGCGTTGGTTGGTGCAGCTAGTAAGTTTATTTTTTCTTGCTTTTTGACTTTTGTTTCTCTCTTTGTTATGTTTTCATTATTGTTATTATTGTTGTTGTTGTTATGCTAAGTTTGGCTTTTGTTAATTTTATTATGATAACAACAACAATAAAGAATGTGGCAAAAGTTTAGAACTATTTGTGAGAAGTTAATTCAAAATGAAATTTATTTATTAATAATGCTGGATTTCTATTGTGGAATTAAACTTTTATTGTTTTTTTTAACATAATAGATAGTATAGATAGTATTATTTGATGTATATTATATTGAGACAAAAACATTTTTTCTCATTTTCTTTAATTATTATTAAAAAATTATTATTTTTTATTATAATTTTACTTTATTATTATTATTTTATAAATATTAAATACTTATATTTGTGACCGAAACTTATTATTATAATAATTTGTTACCGGGCTAATTGGTCAAATTTTAATATAAATAAAAAGACATTAATTTATTATTTATATTTAAAAATCGTTTATATTTTATTTCCGATATTTCGACTATCTTCGATAGTCATCTTCAGGGAAAACTGCACAAAATATAGGATGTTCACATTTTTATAGCGGATTATAAAGAAAAATCATACAATAAATACAATAATAATGATGATAACAAGAGAAAAAAAACAACAATAAAAATACAAAAGAAAAATTAAAATTATAAAAAAATTTATAAAAAAAAACAAAAAAAGCTTTACAAACATCCTGTGTCATTTGTTTATAATATTCCTGTAAGCCTGAGCACAGTTGTCCGTATCAGTTTTATAATTGAGTCTTATATTATTGGGTCAGGAAGATTAATTAACTATAATTCCAATCATCCTAAACACGTGATTTTAAATACAGCATCCAATTTTATTAGAAGAGTTCTAGTACTGAGTGACAAAATTTTCCATAATGAACAAAAGAACATAGTGCGTGATATTTTAATAAAGAATGACTTCCCCGTAAGGATTATTAATATGATGCTTAATAAGACCTTTAAAAAGCTCCAACCTAACAATAATAATGACAAAAAAATATATAAATCCATTGATTATGTTCCAAAATTGTCAAACCAAATAATGAATTCTAGTATATATGACAAGGAACGTTATAAAATTACTCATAAGGCAACAAACACAATAGCTAAATTATATAGCAATACGAAAACTAAAATTAATAATAAAGACAAATCTAATGTAGTGTACCAGCTGAATTGTAAAGGTGACGGGTACAATGTATGTAACAAAATATATATAGGTACGACTAAAAATAAGCTTAGGACAAGGATGGCTGGACATAAACACAGTTTAAAAAATAAAAGTGGTGCTGAAGCCAATACAGCATTGGCTGTGCATTGTATGGAGCATAAACATGAACCTGATTTTGACAAGGCAAAAATTTTATATGAAGAAAGGAACCATAATAAGAGGTACTTTCTAGAAATGCTCTCAATACTTCAAGTGCCCAAGAATATAAGACTCAATTATAAAACTGATACGGACAACTGTGCTCAGGCTTACAGGAATATTATAAACAAATGACACAGGATGTTTGTAAAGCTTTTTTTGTTTTTTTTATAAATTTTTTTTATAATTTTAATTTTTCTTTTGTATTTTTATTGTTGTTTTTTCTCTTGTTGTCATCATTATTATTGTATTTATTGTACGATTTTTCTTTATAATCCGCTATAAAAATGTGAACATCCTATATTTTGTGCAGTTTTCCCTGAAGATGACTATCGAAGATAGTCGAAATATCGGAAATAAAATATAAACGATTTTTAAATATAAATAATAAATTAATGTCTTTTTATTTATATTAAAATTTGACCAATTAGCCCGGTAACAAATTATTATAATAATAAGTTTTGGTCACAAATATAAGTATTTAATATTTGTAAATAAAAATATATAAAATGGTATTTTACTGATTTCAATCTATGTACGTACCAATGCTATTCCTTTGATACCACAATTGACCATTATTTGAGCTCAAGTTAGCTTTTTGGAAACAAGGTCGCGACTGCAACCTACCTATATAAGAATTAATAGGCGAATCACTTCAATTTTTTACATTAAGTTATATTGTTATATGCATAATGAATGTACTTAGTCTAATAAAAGTAAAATATTTTTTAATAATAATTTTTTATGAAAATTTTGTATGTATAATTTTGTATATTTAAAATACCAAATTTCTTAAATATGTAAAAGTTGACCGTATTTGGGTCCAACTTTGGAGGGGCCGATTGGGCCTTATCTCTACTAGTTTAGAAAATATCGAAACTGTGAGTCGGAGACTGTTGTATTTAATATAATAAAGGCTGTTGCTTCAGTTAGAGTCGCCAGTTACTAAAGCTGGTGACTGTTGCTTAATCGAGGCATTTCAATGTACTTAAATAAAAAAAAGATATTTAAACAGATATTTTAATCATATCTGTATTGAAATATATTTAATTTATAGAGTTTAATTTTTAAAGAAAGAATAAAAATTATTTGTTTGTACTTTTTTTGTTTTAATACATATATTTTCTAAATTTCGCAAGTATTATGAATTGTGGTACATAAGCATAAATTTATTTTATTTATTTTTCTAAAACACTTATAAGTAAAATGTCAAAAGTAAAATATGTTTTGTATGGGATTGCAGCGATACACTTTGCAGTATTGGTAAGTTAAATTACATATAAAAGTGAGGAAAATTTTCTCAAAAACATGCTCTGCTTTTCATTTACTACGTTAGCTAATTGAGCCAATATTGGACTACCAGATAAAAAAGTTGCAAAATAGAATTACGGCTAGGGAACTCTTATTAATACAAAGAGCAATGGCTTATCGTTACCAGCATGTTGCAAATGATCCACGAATTGCGGTTGAAATGATAGAGCCACCACTACCAGAACAATAAAAAGTTAAAAAATTTTCGCAACCATTGAACCATAGATCTATATGTATATATGTATTTAGTGCATCAAGAGAGAATTCTAACAGAGAAACAAAAGCAGCAAGCAATATCGGGTAAGTCAATTGCAAATATCAAACTTTAAGAAATTACAAATAATAATACTGTATTTAATAGAGTGATCCTTTAGAAACCCATTGTTTTGTAATGTCATCTGATGCTTCCTGAAGACCTTATCACAAAGTAAGAAAAATTTGTTATTGTTTGATTATATTTGTTTATCTTTTCTTATATTCCTAACATTGATGATGTATTTTAGTGCTTCGAGCTGTATTTTTCGAGTTGTTGAAAACTTCCACCGTTTCAGTGTTCTAGTACTTAAACCGTACATCGAATAGTGCTTGAGAGTTTGTTGTTTCCCGTATTTGTATTAAATAAAATAAAATCAAAATGGAATCTCGAGAAGCTTTGCTGCTCCAGTAGCTCGAATATCTACGAATGTCTCGAGCTTTTCTGAATATTTGAATTGTTCGAATTCGAAAATACTCGATCTACTCCAGCAGTTTGGTGTTCGAACATTTTAAAGCACATAGTATATAGCCTATAAATACCTCGGACTTAACTCATCTTTATCAGTGTAATCTATATCAATAAATTGCAGTAATTATATTCCTTAACAAAAAATTTTATTAATATTTATTTTTAATTATACTAGTTTATATAACTAAAGAAAAATAAAATTTATGTTTGCTTAAATAGTTGTATTGTCACACTCGTCATTGACAGAAATTCAAATCATAACGCGGAAAATCCTTGCGCACTCTTATATCGCAAAGAAGCATAACTGTGCTGGTAGTTCGGTGTGCAATAATTGGTGGGTGTGAAGAATGCACCACCAATAGCATCATTGGCAACAGCAGCGGCGGCCGCATTTGTAGCGGCCGTCGCACCAAATGCACCGTATGAGTTCGTATAGCCTTTGGATGAATACATGCTAAGTGTTGGAAAACTCAATGAATAGGCTGCGGCCGCTGCATGATGGGGTAAATCCATTTGTTGGTGAAACAGTGCTGCCGCACTCTTATCGGTAGCGAATTTATGAACACTCGTTATAGGTGGCACAGGCTGTGATGCTGTTGCTAATAAACTGCGTCCATTGTTCGTACTGCGTTCATTTCGTCGAAATTTTGCGCGTCTATTTTGAAACCAGACCTGTGGTGAAGTATAAATTAGAATACTGGAAATTATTTTGAGTTCACCGTACAAATTGCAAGTTGGTCTTACTTGTACGCGCGCTTCGCTTAGACCCACTTTCGTTGCTAACTCCTCGCGTACAAATGCATCTGGATAATGCGTACGTTCGAATACTTTCTCCAGTGCTGTCAACTGTCCTGAGGTGAATGTGGTGCGATTACGGCGCGGTTTGCGCGTTTGCATGCTACCACCCTGAATATGATCGCCACTAAAGTCGCTACGGAAACTGTCATCTAAAAATAATACAAAAAGAAGCAAGGAATTTAATGCAAATGTTAGCAGCTTTCAGTTTAATTGAATTCTAAGAGTTATTCCGAGAAAAATTCATTAAATCAAATTTAATGACCCCAACAAAAAAAAAAAAGAAAAAATTATTCCAAAATAATTTTTAGTGCTTTCAACAATCAGAGTTTTGCTGAATTTCATTGTAAGTGAAAGGTCATAAAATATTTCGTAATTTTTGATATTTTCCTTCATCATGCCGTGGAAATCCCTAACTTCAATACAACATCAACACCACATCAATTGATTTTATGTCGAAAATTCTTGTATCGTTTTACTGTCCACAATGTCGTTAAATTTTTCATTTTTCATTTTTCATGGATTTTATACTTTCGCTGCTGCGGCTGGCATTTCTATTGCTGGATGCTTGCCTGCTTGGCTGCTTTTGTTGTTAACGTGACGTTTGCAATGGCTTTCCTTGCAGCATTGCTGCTGTAACAACACTTCCAGCAAACAACAGCAACAGTCTTCCTTATGTTTCGTCCGTATTTCCTTTCATTGTCGTTGACAGTTTGTAAAATTGTTTTTATAGTTTTTCTTGAATTTGTAAAGTTCTGTGTTCATTGCACGCCTTTTACGGCACCAACGGCACCAACGGTACTAACAGCACTAACAGCACTAAAATGTTGAAAAAGTGATCATTTTGTATCTTCGAATTAAAAACTCGTAAAATAATGATTTAGTGTTGTCACTTGTCAAAAGTGAGTTAAATGGATGGTGATGATTGGGTGCAACTGAGCGTGATTCTATACAGTTAAGATATTTATTTCTCTTTATAAATGACAAATTAATTAGGTACAAATATTATGATTTTCATCGCATTTAAGTGATACTTAAATTTTAATTGATTATAAAGTTTTTGTTATTGCCAGAACAGAGTTATGAGTTATGAAAACCCGAAATTATGAAATCAAGGACATTAAGCGTATAAACTAGAGTAGTACTGTGAAGAAAGTTTCGACCTACATTGGGTTGCAATAGCTGGAACGATGCTGATGCTGATAATGATGATGATGGCGATAGAATATTTGTTGAAAATTGGTTTTTAATAGAAAATAATATTAAAAGTAATTAACACAATTGAAATGTTTTGTAGGGAGCTAAATTATTATTTGATTGTTAACATGAATAAATTTATAAGCGAGTGGTATGGATTATAAGGTGTTAAGAAAAATTATATTTTGAGGCAACTGACATGAATTCTCTAAGTTATTATAAAAACTAAACAACCTAAAAGATCGAGCGTGAAAAGATAGTTAATTGTTTAATTTTAGTAATATTATTAAAGCTTTAACGAGAAATCGCCCAACAGCCGGTATTACGACCAGAAGAGTCCTATTGTATCAATTTCACTATTGATTACACAAAATTCTTTAAAGCTTTGTGAACAAAGTCCAGAACTAAATTTAGAGAAGAGCTCTTAATCTATTCTGGTGACAAAAAACCATATGAAACACTTCTATATTGTTGTGTAGCGTTTAGCAAAGCTACAAACACTACTATTCACCAGTTAGAAATTGCAAAAAGCTAGGCTCTGAGAAGACTTTTCAAAGTTCCTTGGTACATTAGGATGAATGACATCCTCAGGGACCTCAAGATTGGTCCCATCAAAAAATACATGAAGGATAGAGCCCTGAAATTATTTGCGAAATCTGACAGACTTACTAACACCGCGTTATCAAATCTCAGAATGGTAACAGGCTCCTCGGGGAGATATACAGATCTGAGGTCAATTATTGTTTAGTCTAATGAAGTGACAAACAATAATCCAGTCAAGGCGCAAAGAGGGGTTTTGTAGAAACCTCGCAGTTAATAGAGAGTAAAAGTGCTCAGGTGTACTGACTCAACTCAACTAGCCTCAACATAGAAGTTTCTTCTATGCGTTATTAAACCTGGACAGTCAAAAAGAATATGCATAGTTGTTTCCTCATCTTCGAGTCAAATGCTTATTGTTGCGAATTGGTAGTGCTATCGGTTTAGTAGTTAGTGAGGATGTTGAGTGATCGTTTGATCGATAATTCTTGCGCTTTTTAGGTTGCTTATTGTGAGGCCTCGGATGTTATCACAGAGGGACGAAACAGCATATATTTGAACAAAAGTATATAAAGAATATAGTTTTATTGCATATTTTTGATGATATTTCTTCGAGGTTACAGAAGATAAAATTTTCCCTTTACTTAGTGAAAATATAAAGTAACAGGACTTGTGTTTGTTAAATTTTTTAGCTGCAAAATTTTTTTTTTCGTTTCTTGTAATGAAAAAGAATTCAATTGACAAACTTTATCAAACAATATTTATTTTGCATTTCATAAGCAATTGGGAATCTCTTCCTCTATTCCATAAGTAATCACTTCTTGTAATTGTAATATTTTTTATAATGTAGAAATTATCTTCAAATCATATGGCCACTAATAGAGCTATACCTTCGTAAAGTGCAAAAGTTCAAGAAAACTCACTATTCAAATGGAATAATATTGAAATGAAATTAATATTGAAATTCACTGTAGTATATATCTTATTCCACATTTTTTTACAAATATCTTGTTCTACTATTTAATGCAGACAATTTAATATTTACTTTTCTATTTCAATGGATCGTATGAGCACTCTATATAGTGTTCGCTCACATGCGTATAATATTACATACAGTCATAAAATACTATTTTTTAGCGGCTTATACACAAAGGAATCAGAACAACTGATACTCGGCGCCCAAAATCAGCGCTCAACAAACTGCGCTGATTTTATTACATCAATCGGTGGTGCACAATTCAATAATCGTAGAAAGCGAAACTTTTATGAGCGCACTGAGCACACAGCACGGTACCAAAAATTCCATGGTTGAAAGGCAATTCCGACATTGTCAACATGACATAAAGTTAATTTGCGTTGACAGTGGCGGCCGGGTATTCTATATCAGGCGTTGCATGATACCATAAATTAGATGAATACGTACTCGTGTGCACTTATCTTTTTTTGTATCTGTATCTATAAAAAATGAAAATGTTAAAAAATTGTAAAAGGGGGATATGGAGACATCATACGAAATACGTTTGTTAGTCCGAGTACGAAATTATGGGTGTTTATCACTTGAGCGTGGTAAAGCGTTCTTCAGGCTGCTCATCCGTTCATTCAAGTTGGAATAGTGCACCCGCGAGTGTTATAAAAAATTCCATCGTAAATGCGTCGTTATGTCTCTTTTAATTTACTTGAGCATTTTGTAGCATGTGCATTGCGCTGCATCGGTTGCACATCCTTTCCTAATCGCAAACAAAAATAGTACCCGTTTTTTACAGAAAAATTTCGTACTGCATTTTTTATGGGAAAACTTCAATTAAAGAACTTTTTTCAGTATTATTTTTTATTGGGTTATAATTTGAATCTTTTTCTACAAGATTTTTGTTCGCAAGGGACTTGGATTGGATTTAAATTCTAGTTTGTGTGGTTTTTATTTGTTGACAAATTGATTTGACTTGTGTTACCGTAGATTTATTTCTGGTTTGAGATACTTTATAGTATTGTGTGGTCTCTATATTTGTGTACATTCAATATATAATCTATATTCTTAATATGTGTATGCAATATTGTTAGCCATATGCTCAAATGTATTTAGTTTCGAACACTTCAATAAACATATTATTTCTAGTTCAGTATAAGTAGATATTTCTGTGGTTAATATAGAAACGTCACTTTATTCAATTGATAATCTTACAACAAAATAAGTCAAAAATTGGAACGTTTTCTTTGGTTATGCCACGAAAATTCGAAGAATCGCTTAGTAGTCATATAAGATCACACAATATTACGTGATGTCATAATATGCTTTGCACCAAGAAGATGTTCCAATACTCGTATTCATCGGTTGACTTGCAAGACGTCATGTCGTCTTGATTATCGCAACTACAGTGCGTATCTTGTGTGCTGACAGCTCTTCAGTGGCTGTTGTCAAACCTCAAATTCATGTACCGCCTTCTTAAATTGGCCACATATGGCGCACTTGCATGCACCAATTTATCACAATCATTTTACTTGAATTGCAGCCGCAAGTCGGCAGCATTAGTGGAAAATGTTATGAAATGAATAATTAAATTTTAAAGAGCACTAAATTTTCACCTAATTATAAATCATTTGACT